TCATCAGAAACTTCCGAGTTTCCCTGCTACATGTTTCCATTTCCGAGATTCCGATTCGTTCAAACAACACTCCTTTTGTTTTTGGTTTAATACACATTTTTACACAGAAATCGCTCAGCAAAGAAAAAGGACAACGCATTCATCCACACCTTTTTAGCGGAAACGGAAATTGTAACTTTTAACAAGTTCTCTTCATTCCCNATGTATGTTCAAACGCAGTAATCGCTGGAGGCTCCTGTTATAATTTCCTTGTTTTATTACCTCCTAAACTGGAAAACAATTTTTAACGCACTTTGATGATAATTTGAGCCACCCTCTGCTCTCTTGGATTCATACCTACTAGCTTAATGAAAAAATGTATATATTGAAAGCTACAGCAATGTTAGCTAGCAGCGATGAACGTTGGCGAGTTTGGTTGTGCCTCATAAATTTCGTTCTTTTCGCCACTCGCTAAAGGCCCGTTTACATACAACTTTGACGTTGCCTTGGAGTTGGCGTTGGCGTCGCTCGACAGCTGACTATATAGTTTGTTAATTTAATGACCAAAGTATTCGCTGCTAAGCGTTCATTGTAGCAAGTACGAGTGTTCATCGCGCTGCTGTCAAAGCGATGCCAAAGTTGTATATAAACGGGCCTTAAGGGTTGCGAATCGAATGCTGCTTTAGTTGTTGTTATTGGCAAAAAATTTACCATATGGACGTTCACTTTACAACACCATTTACATAAATAATAAAATACCGCAAATGAAGCATTATATTAAAGCCAGACTCCTCACCACAGATATTAGCTTACTGCATGTATACATACATACATAGGTATGTAGACGAGAAATATAAAGAGTTAATCCTACAAATCGTAAATAACATCAACGTAAATTTCATTACTTTAGTTACATACATACATACATATGTACATGTACATTTTTTATTCATTCTTATCACTCTGTGAGAATGCCGGCTTTTGGCAACAAAGGTATTCCAGTCGAATGATGATACAAATACATATGTATGTATACAACTACAATAAATTGACAATGAGCTCTTAACAATAACGGCTTTGGGTCGGAAACTCTTTTGTTTACTGATATATACACTCGGAGAATTATTTTTTTTTATGCAAAAAATGCTAAAACAAAATTCTTACGCCAGATCAACGCTTGAAATTGATTAAGAAACATGATTACTCACCGAGATTATATGACAAGGTTTGATATTTATTCTCGCTTTAAAACAGCACTAATTGGTTGAGCGGCTGGCTTGGCCTCAGCACGAGTGAAGGGAGTGTGTGTTAAATGTATTATAAACCCACATTTGACCAAAATTTCGCTATTTTACTGACGTGCAGTCTCTCAAACACCAATTTTTCAGATCAAAATATACATATATGTTAGACATTTATAAATAAATTTGTTTTCGATTGAAACTAGAAATTCTATCAATATTTTCGATTGTTATATATGACGAAAAATATGCGTATTTAGTAATCAACGCCATTTAAGCTCGGGGAAAATTTCGATCTTTCGGTGTCTGTCACATTACCACATCAGTCGGAGATGGTTAAATAAAGAATAAAAGAAAAATGTTTTTGCTCCCACACATTTTACAATTTGTATGTATACAGTTAGATGGATTAATTTTTTAGCTACGTCAGTTTAACATTAAACTTGGCTTAGAAATTCACCACAGGTAAACTCGTAGCGAAAAAATAATCACAAGCGTAATTCTGGGTGTACTTAAAAGCTTCCATTATGCGAAAAGGTATATGATATTTAAGCTGAGTCGTCATTGTTAAAGAGATATGTACATATGTATCTACATAGCACGTATGCGTACTACACAAGTAAGAGTTGAGTTCGCTTGAAGCGATCAGTTTTGATTTGAGCGTGGCTGCGGAAAGAACATCTTACCGGATCGACAGTTTATATATATGTTAAATAAAAGCCTCGAGAATTCGCGCAAAGTGCTTACGAATAGAATTTATCTAAAACGATATATGTATTTACACACAGATACATATAAGAGATATATATAAATAAGCAAAACAAAAATGTAAGCGGTATCTGAAATTTAAAGTTATTAACAACGGCGCAACCGCAAGTAATTAAATCACAATATTCTGACTACATCATCTAATTAATTCGAAAAGAAAGTGAAATGTTGTGGTTGAAATACAGAGATCCAAATATTTCAAACATATCGACAAAAATAACTGTATCTAGTCAAATATAGACCAAAATGTATTTGAATTACAAACAAAAAAAAAAAAAAACATAATTGGTTAGAAAAATTTAATCAACTTTGTAATACACATTCATGCGCAAATTTTGCTGTATATGAGTACATCCCAGTGGAGAAATGTAATGTATAGTAATCAAAAATGCATTTTTTCCCCAAGGCCAATGTCCTAGGAAAAGTGGGGCATTCAATTTTGCATTACCTAGTATCGAGAGATGAACGTGATTTAATATGAAATGTTTGGGACTTTTCGAATACATTAGAATGCTGATAACATATTAAACAGAAATTCGATCTAAAACTCATAGGAAATACATCAGATTATTTATCACGCATGGAATGCATTACTATTTTTCCCACTGGGATGTATTTAATTGTACACACACATATACAAATAAATACGGCTTAATTGATGGCACACAAAATGAACTGAATAAGAAAATATTGTATGTGCATAGATATGTTTGTATATAGTGGCTCAATTGAAAGTGAAGAAAACAATTAACGCACTACTGGTAACCGCCGAAAAATTCAAGATTTCGAATTAAATCCGCTCCCTACATCTCCTCTACAGATGTATTTTATTTGAAGACCAGTGTATACATTTGTATGAATAAGGTCATACCTAGGAATGCTGATGCCCAAAAAAAATACAGATTTAAGCTGCGGACACCGCATGCCCTGCTTAATAAATAAACATTAAAAACTCAAATGCCTGAGGGCAGAAAACATCGATAAATAAGTACATACATANAAAAAAAAATACATATTTAAGCTGCGGACACCGCATGCCCTGCTTAATAAATAAACATTAAAAAACTCAAATGCCTGAGGGCAGAAAACATCGATAAATAAGTACATACATACTTTTGTGCATATGTATGTATGTATGTAACATGTAGATAATGACGCGAAAGCAATTAAAAATTTGTGCTGCAGTTGGAGGAGCAGCGGCACCGCGACCGCATAATACTCGTCAAACAAGCTGTGAACGTGCAAATAAAATATTCGCCGGCGTTTCATTGACATCTATAATGAATTCATTTTACTGGCAGTTGATGCTGGTGTTGGTGGTTAGCTGTGATATGTGCAAATCAAATGAATATCCAGTGACAAGCAAAGCTGTAACTGCAACTGCAACTGCAACTGACAGCGTCGAAATTGGCGGCGAAATCACAATTGATACCACCACAAATCTACTCGACCCATATACAGGCGGGAAGGAGGACTCCATAGGGGAATATGTCAAGAGTGAAAAGGAAAAATTTCTGGGCAGCAACCTTATCAGAAATGCCACAATCGAAAACGTAACAGAAGAATGCCGCACGCACTGCAACCTACAAGTAAGTTTGCCACTTTACATAGTGCATTATTGCAACGAAAATTCGAGTAATCAGCAATTAAAAAACAATATTTAAAGTAAATTGCATCGCGTACTTTTTCTAAAACCGGTAGCTTAATGAGACGTTTTTTGTAGCTTAGTTGGTGCATATTGCATTTGAATGCCGTCAGTTTTACGAACTAAACCGACTGTAATTAGTTATCATAGTAATATGCATATGTTTACCGCAAAAAGAGTTGCAAAATTTGATTTACGATTGGAAAATTTGTTTGTTTTGTGTCTGAGCAAAGCTGCAATGTCCAGCAAAAAAATAAAAATAAATTTTGTTTACGATCCAAAAAGTCGCACGCATACACATAGGCGTGCATAGGTAAATAAAATCACGTGATTTATGGACCAACACATTTTTTATTCAACAGCCCTTTCTTTAGAGATAATTAGCTGACAATATAATTGCGCTTAATTGTTTACTTAAATTAACAGCTAATTAGTGGCTTCTACATTCCTAAACTAAGCGACCGTCGGTCGTGCCGTATGCTTGTGCACGTGCTGGAATTATTTAAATTTGTGTGTGTGCACTGTAATTCATACTACATAAATACATATGTACGTATGTACATATGTGCTTAGTATTCGTTCACAAGAGCCCACGTCTTCTTCGCCAATTAAAACAGTCAAACCACATACATATGTGAACACACATACATATGTATTAGGAATGTTAATCCCGGGATCCCGGCATTTTTTAGGCCACGAAAATCCCGGGATTTGTGGGATTTGTAATTTGCACTGATGTCAATAATAGAAACTCCTTTTCTTTACCAGTATTGGCTATATTGTTTTTTTTTTATTTAATAATAAATTTTTTTTTATAAATGTCTAAATCATTATACATATAAAACCGTGCGATAGTAAATTTTGCACACAAAAATCAATATATTCGCGAAACTATGGGCCAAATATAGTAAAATTGCGTTTTTAGTTTTTACTTTGACGTCAGTAATTCAAAAATGATTTAAAAAATTCAGTGAAATGCGCTTAGAGAAGAGGAAGTTCTGTAGAATTTAATCAGATTAAATTTTTTTGGTGCATAAGGACTGATAATTATTGAAAATGTCCTTTTAAAATTGTATCCTTGAAATTTATGTTAAGGACTCATATAAACTCGATAACATTCTCGAATTTCGTCCTTCTAACTTTATCAACTTAAAAAATTACCTATTCGTCCTTGTGAATCCAAAAAAAATTAATTTTTTTAACTTCTAAAGAAATTTCCTTTTTCATTTGGTTCCCATGTTTTTATTAAAATAAATCGTAACGTCAGAGAGAAAACATAAAACGCCACTTTAAATAAAAAAGTAGGTTTCAAACCCATTTATTTATTATTTATTTTATGGTAGCAGAGATAGAAGCAATTTTTCGCGATTTAAGTTGTTGGAAAGTAATGAATATCTAAATCCCGGGTCTAATCCCGGGTCTCGAGATTGTGATAACGACATTCCGAAAATCCCGTATTCGTAAAAAGCGAAAAAATTAACATCCCTAATATGTACGTATTAATACAGTGCCAGCAATGTGAGCAACAGTAGCCACACTTCGCCACAATTACCATGAGGACAGCACTGCTTCTGTTAGAATTTGGAGCACATCTTCATTGGATAGCATCCGTCGTTATATATGTATGTACATACATACATATGTATGTTGTGTGCATACGAACACTCACATGTAATAGCCTAGATACGTGTTAGATATTACATACTTAAATATGTACATATGGATGTGTTTATGTACTATATGTACATATGTATAAGTACCTTTGGCTGTATTTACTTTTCTACAACCGTGAAAACCCGATTAGACATAGCCGTTTAAGTATGCATATATATGTACATATGTATGCACGAGTAAGTGATCTCGGCATTATTAATCGGAGCTGCATTTGTGACTAACGATGAGGAGTACACTTACTTGCAAGGTTACGAAGAAGACAAATTTTTTGTCGTGTGCGCATACATACATATGTGCATATGTATGTATGTACATGCATATATGCCAAGACATTTCTTTTCTTTTGTTGACATATCACTTGATACCCTCTATTGTGGGCATTTATGTGCACTAATTCTATTATTGTTGTCACATCAACGTCATATGCAGCTTTGTACATATGTACATATAATCAGGTATTCTAAATACATATGTATGTATGTATTGACATACAATGCTAATCCGATATTCCTAACAGGGCTCTTTTACACGATATGTATTTGCATATGTAAACTTCATAGTGGCCATAAAACTTTTTTGCCAAGGTTGAATTCTAAATGAATATTTATAGTTGACTCAGCTTTTTCTGATAAAAATAAAGAAATATCCAAAATATACGTGACTTAAAAATCACGGAATGAAGAAATTTTAGGTATTGAAATTTCTGATTACAACTGCTTTTACTAATGAACAGACATAGACACTTGCAATTAATTTCATGCAAATAACAACTCATTGCATTGAAATAAAAAAGTTTCTCATGATTTAAACTTTTATATTTCAAATGTAAATCATAGTTATTAAATCTTTGTGTTACATATTTAAATATGAACATACATACATAATTAACTAACTTTTTTAAATAATTATAATAGTAATGATCTGAGAAAAAAGTTCAATCTAGAACTTTTAAGGCTATGTACCTTATTTAAGTATTAGTTCCTGCTCATAGTAGAAAGGCGTATATCAAATACGCTTCATCATATTTACTATTGATAGAACTGAAATATGTACATATGTATGTATATGCAAGAATACATGCATTCGAGTCCTTCAAGTAGAAGGTACTACAGTCGCCCTTTTTAACCAAGTTGCAAAGAAACAAAACACCAGAATGGATAACGAATTACATGTAAGGCAACAAAGCAAACTCAATAATAACCCTGCAGAATATCCGACTAGCGCAGAATTAGCGTAAGACCTCTTGGCGACGGCACTAGTTCTATAGCTCAATACCCAAGCAATGCATTCAATGCCGAGGGGCGAACGCTGTTAAGAAAAAGACCTTCATCAACATTGTTTGCGATGTTGCTGTGACCAGGGCTTGAACCCAGGCCCTGCTTACCACCACTACTACACCACAGTGGCCGCCTCAACAATTTAAATTCACTAAATCTGAAAACTCACAACTGCCTCCACCGCGATTTGAACTCGCTACCAATGAGGCTTGAGTCGGAGGTCTTCTCGCTGAGCTACTTTCATATTGTGCGAGAAGTGAGAATTTGTACACTTACAACGCCAGTTTCAACTGTCCCGCCGCTCTGCGTCCGTTTTGCACTAGTTCAGAGATAGTTATGAAATATGTAGTTCGGAACTAGCGCTTTGCTCTAAATTTTACTGCAGGGACATAACTACATACATATGAACATATATCCATACATATGAACATAACATATATATATGTAGGTATATTAGTATACTCGAGTTGGCCAATTCGGTTAAGCGATATGCGAACTAATCCGTAGGGTTGCTTGCAAAGCAAAAAAAACTATGCAATTGTGAATGGCATCTTTTTAAATAGATAAATAAGTACGTATATGTATGTACATATGTACATGTTTAAAAAGTTAAGTCGGAATTTGTTTCCTCTCACCCCCAAGGATTGTTCTAAGCCGAAAAATATATCCCCCTATTTTTTATTTGTTGGTTAAATAAACAACTGGTTACTATTATTGGCAATCTCCTAAAGAGAAACAGAGTTTTCCGTACGAAAAACATTGATTTTCAAGAATTCTAGACCATTTCTACGAAAAGTTGTTATTGACCCATATATGTAAAACACATGGAAAACTTTGAGCGATTTGTGCGATCTCTAAATATTTTTTGATTTCAAAAAGAAAAAATAGGGGTATACTTTTCTCGATATAGAATAATCCTAGGGGGTAAGAGCATTAAAATTCCGAATTTACTTATTTTGGAACACTTTAATGTATGTACATATGAAGGGGTTAGAATCAAAAGGATCTAAGTAGGTCTGAAATTGTTTCGAGATAATTGAAGTTAAAGTTGATTACTTATTGTAAATTCGGGGTAAATTCATTTGAAATGATCATTGCCCGGCCAATAGATGGCACTACAATGTCCGAAATGACTTGGTCCTCTTTGTCACCAAATAAACACTGTATTTAACTATACAAATATGGGTAGAACTTATATTTTCAAAAAATGTCACTTAGACCCTTATGATTCTAACCCCTTCATATATATTAGCAAATTTTTTTGTACCAATTTGCCCTATATGCAAGGGTATTGCAAATTTATACGCATAACGGTTGTTTGTAACAGCCTTACAAAATNGACATACAATGTTAATCCGATATTCCTAACAGGGCTCTTACACGATATGTATTTGCATATGTAAACTTCATAGTGGCCTTAAAACTTTTTTGCCAAGGTTGAATTCTAAATGAATATTTATAGTTGACTCAGCTTTTTCTGATAAAAATAAAGAAATATCCAAAATATACGTGACTTAAAAATAATAATCACGGAATGAAGAAATTTTAGGTATTGAAATTTCTGATTACAACTGCTTTTACTAATGAACAGACATAGACACTTGCAATTGATTTCGTGGAAGTAAAAAAGTTTCTCGTGATTTAAACTTTTATATTTCAAATGTAAATCATAGTTATTAAATCTTTGTGTTACATATTTAAATATGTACATACATACTAACTTTTTTAAATAATTATAATAGTAATGATCTAAGAAAAAAGTTCAATCTAGAACTTTTAAGGCTATGTACCTTATTTGAGTATTAGTTCGTGCTCATAGTAGAAAGGCGTAAATCAAATACGCTTCATCATATTTACTATTGATAGAACTGAAATATGTACATATGTATATGCAAGAATACATGCATTCGAGTCCTTCAAGTAGAAGGTACTACAGTCGCCATTTTTAACCAAGTTGCAAAGAAACAAAACACCAGAATGGATAACGAATTACATGTATGGCAACAAAGCAAACTCAATAATAACCCTGCAGAATATCCGACTAGCTCAGAATTAGCGTAAGACCTCTTGCCGACGGCACTAGTTCTATAGCTCAATACCCAAGCAAGCAATGCATTCAATGCCGAGAGGCGAACGCTGTTAAGAAAAATACCTTATTCAACATTTTTTGCGATGTTGCTTTGACCAGGGCTTAAACCCAGGCCCTGCTTACACCACTACTACACCACAGTGGCCGCCTCAACAATTTAAATTCATTAAATCTGAAAACTCACAACTGCCTCCACCGCGATGTGAACTCGCAACCAATGAGGCTTGAGTCGGAGGTCTTCTCGCTGACCTACTTTCATATTGTGCGAGAGGTGAGAATTTGTACACTTACAACGCCAATTTCAACTGTCCCGCTCTGCGTCCGTTTTGCACTAGTTCAGAGATAGTTATGAAATATGTAGTTCGGAACTAGCGCTTTGCTCTAAATTTTACTGCAGGGGCATATGAACATAACATATACATATGTATGTAGGTATATTAGTATACTCGAGTTGGCCAATTCGGTTAAGCGATATGCGAACTAATCCGCAACAAAAAAAAACTATGCAATTGTGAATGGCATCTTTTTAAATAGATAAATGAGTACGTGTACATTAGGGTGGTCAAAAAATGCATGTTTAAAAAGTTAAGTCGGAATTTGTTTCCTCTCACCCCCAAGGATGGTTCTAAGCCGAAAAAAATTTACCCCTATTTTTTATTTGTTGGTTAAATAAATAACTGGTTACTATTATTGGCAATCTCCTAAAGGGTAACAGAGTTTTCCGATCGAAAAACATTGATTTTCAAGAATTCTAGACCTTTTCTACGAAAAGTTGTTATTGACCCATATACATATGTAAAACACATGAAAAACTTTGAGCGCTTTGTGCGATCTCTAAATATTTTTTGATTTCAAAAAGAAAAAATAGGGGTATACTTTTCTCGATATAGAATAATCCTAGGGGGTAAGAGCATTAAAATTCCGAATTTACTTATTTTGGAACACTTTAATGTATGTACATATGAAGGGGTTAGAATCAAAAGGATCTAAGTGGTCTGAAATTGTTTCGAGATAATTGAAGTTAAAGTTGATTACTTATTGTAAATTCTGGGTAAATTCATTTGAAATGATCATTGCCCGGCCAATAGATGGCACTACAATGTTCGAAATTACTTGGTCCTCTTTGTCACCAAATAAACACTGTATTTAACTATACAAATATGGGTAGAACTTATATTTTCAAAAAATGTCACTTAGACCCTAATGATTCTAATCCCCCCTTCATATATATTAGCAAAATTTTCTGTACCAATATTCCCTATATGCAAGAGTATTGCAAATTTATGCGCATAACGGTTGTTTGTAACAGCCTTACAAAATTGAGATAGATAGAGACATACTAAAATGCTCAGCATCAAAAGATAAATCAATTCTCCTATATCCCTCAGTCCGCCCGCCCGCTCTTCCATGGACACGGTGGCTGTATTTCTGTAAACATTTCAGATAATCCCATCTTACAGGCGAAATAAACGGAACGCGTTTGGGATATAAGTACTATAGCATTGTATTCGGTTGTTGTACCTAATAAATAAACGTAAAGATTTGTTCCAAATGTTCAGAATGGATAAAGAAATCCAGCCGGTAGCTGCCGTATAAAAATATATACCTCAACAAAATATCGTTAAGTAAATAGATTGTTTTTAGATCAAGGCAGGGTCGTATTGAAAACTGCGGTATTTTAGTAACTAAGTTTGGTTCAAGTTCCAAGTTTTTTTTTAAGATTTAATAATTACACTGCACAGCACTTGGCAGGGTATTGGACCAAATCAACTTTTTTAAGAGATTGTTCCATAGTTAAAAAAGTAATTCCTCCGTTTTTCGAAGTTAGCCTCCGAAATCGAGATATTAGCCTTCGAAGTTCGAAATTGGACCTTTGGTAAAAAAATATTTTTAATTATNTTTTTAGATCAAGGCAGGGTCGTATTGAAAACTGCGGTATTTTAGTAACTAAGTTTGGTTCAAGTTCCAAGTTTTTTTTTAAGATTTAATAATTACACTGCACAGCACTTGGCAGGGTATTGGACCAAATCAACTTTTTTAAGAGATTGTTCCATAGTTAAAAAAGTAATTCCTCCGTTTTTCGAAGTTAGCCTCCGAAATCGAGATATTAGCCTTCGAAGTTCGAAATTGGACCTTTGGTAAAAAAATATTTTTAATTATTGTATGTGCCTTTTGCTCTTATTAAAACTGTATATAACTTTTTTTGTGCAAACTTATATTCCAGGTGCTATAAGGGGTCAATGATCAGATTTTCGAAAAGTTAAAAACCTTATATTTCAAAAAATTGTGAACTGATTTTCAAGTGTTATAAGGGACCTGTAATATAAGTTTGCACAAAAACTAGTTTTTTTCTCTTTCGTTATTTACATGCAATACTAAAAAATTATTTTTACCAAAGGTCCAATTTCGAACTTCGGAGGCACATATCTCTCGATTTCGGAGGCTAACTTCGAAAAACTGAGAAATTACTTTTTTATTTGTGACTCAATCTCTTGGAAAAAATTGGTGTGGTCCAATACCCAGAGAAAAAGGTAATTTTGCCCTGTAGTGTTATTTTAATCTTACATTTATAAAGTCATACCCCAACCTTTTTCGAAATCGCTTAGTTTAGGAGCTACATATTTCAATTCTACGCATTCAAATTTGCACTTTCACTGTACCAGTAAGGAGGCTTTCAGTATGTTTCATAACAGCAAATATCTTTAATTTTAACGGCATCAGTTTACAAATCGTATGACTACTTGAGTAAAACTGGGAGAGATGAAGGACTACCATTTGGTTTCCAGTTTGCATTTGTATATGTTTAAAGTGCTGAGTGCAGTTTTTATGGCGATTCAAAGCTAGTCTATTTGTTGTGCTATAGTTATTAAACCTACTTGATAGATTAATAAAAATTTAGAGTATTCAGTTGATCGAACATCTCTATATAAAACTATTTTTTTTTTTTGTAAATTTTCAAAGGCACCCGAGTTCTTAAATGAATACGGACTACAGTGTGGAAAGAAAGGCGAAAATCGCATGTGCTTCAAGTCGAGGGTAAGTAGAAAACATTAATTAAGCGGAAACTTTACACGCTTTTATATTCATACATACAACTATGCATATGTTAAGCATGTATGTACATAAAATAAGCGCTTGGTAGAAACCCTAAAACCATAAAACCTAAATATACTTCCGAATTTACACATACAAAGACTGGGAGCAGCACCCCACCCACTCACCCACTCACCAAAGCGTTCAATCACTTTGCAACCAAATGTATTGTAGTACCACAAATCAATATCCGACACAACCTGATATCGCACCACATACATACATACATGTACATACATATGCATATCCGTAGCTTCACTCTCTCTGCACGTAATAAAGAAAAGGTAGGAGTTTGTATTTTCCTCTTTATTTTGTTGACTCACTAGACGTTTAAGCTTGCAACCTCACCTGGAAGCGCTTTTATGCACACATACATATGTACATACATATTAGATATGGCCAAGTATATTTATGCATGCGTCTTTGGAAGTGGTGTATTTGTAAATTTATAGTAAATACCGATTCTTACAGTGCCTAAAAGGTTGTGAACAATGGAGAGTAGCACTTGCAAACTCAGATACTTGCCAGGAAACATGNGTGCAAAACCCAGGAAAATTCATTATATTTGCACACTAATTTGCAACTTTTTATTCAGATTTTCTAGAAAAATCCTAAGTATGCAGTTGTATAGCCCATTCAAATTTAGTATAACAAAGTGCAAGTTTAAAGTTGCTGGAAAATCGTGTTGATTTTTGGCAATTTTTTTATTGGAAGGTGTTGCTCATTTTCTCCATACAAAAAATAATTGTCGAATTACTTTGTATGGAAGAACTTGCGTGAAAAAAAATTACCAAAAATCAATGCGATTTTCTAGCGACTTCAAACTTGCACTTTGTTATACTAAATTTGAATGGGCTATAAAACTGCATACTTAGAATTTTTCTAGAAAATCGGAATAAAAAAATGCAAATTAGTGTGCAAATTTAATGGATTTTCCTTAGTTTTGCACAAAGTTTAGAGATTTTATTATTATGTTTTCTGGTGTAGAATGAACAATATTTTTATAAAAAATTATCGAAGATAAATTAGAATAAATAACTTTGCATATATTGCGAAAAATTCACTGTGCCAATACTTCTGTTCGGCACTGTATGTACATATGTATATATTAGATATGGCCAAGTATATTTATGCATGCGTCTTTGAAAGTGGTGTATTTTAAATTTATAGTAAATACCGATTCTTACAGTGCCTAAAAGGATGCGAACAATGGAGAGTAGCACTTGCAAACTCAGATACTTGCCAGGAAACATGTGTAAGTATTTGTACGATATGTCGCTTGCGAGCTTCTGAACTTATTAGGCTTCGGATATTTTTCCCACGCTTATAAATACTTGTTTTACTTATCAGATTTCAATGCAATTACATTGGCTTGACCTACCGTGCATATATGCTTGCGAAATGAGTCAAAGGCATTATTGGGACCGTCAAAAACGAATTGCAGAGTCTGCAATACAACTCGAAAGACCCTTTATAATAGTATCCAATAAAACTGATACGTTGAAGTTACTATGGAATATTGTATTGCCTGAATATTTATTCGCAAATTATCAATTTAGTATTCACATACAATACCAATATGTTATGGAGAATGTAACCGAGGAGCTACAACCATGGAGAAATTTGGCCAATTATGATTGTAGCCAGAATTTTGTCTGCGAATTGTTCGATGAGTTGGTTCCCTTCGCCGTTTATAGGGTAACTTGAATAAATAAATAACTAGCAAACCATCATGGAAATTAATCACCGACTTTTAATTGTTTCAGTTTCGATTCAAATTGGATTTAGGTGAATTCGCAAATCAAGCTTTACATTCGCCCCCAACGGAAGCGTTTAGAACTGTAGCTGGAGGTGTTCCGCTTTCCACGCCGGTAATCAAAGAAGTTTTCGCCTTGGATCATTCTCACGTAAGCATAGCTTGGCAGCCAGGAGTGTTTAGTTGCGGCCCAATAACGGGATATGTTTTATTTTTGGAAAACGCTAACACAACGCTCAAGCAGGTATGTTAGTGAGAAAAACTTGCAAATGAACTGCACATTTTACACAACTTTTCCGATGCCTGCGAAAAGACTTTGCCGCCCGATAGACGAAGCTTTGTTTTTGCAAAATTGTCGCCTTCAACGAATTATACAATAAAACTAGCCATGTTGAATGCCGAGGGTGAAGGTCGTTCTGCCGAAGCGTTTGTCCAAACCAAGGATGCCCCTTTGTATGGGAATTCGGACAATGTAGATCTGGTGATTGTCACAGGGGAATACAGTGTTAAAATCAAAAGTTTTGAATCTCTGACCGATACAGAAGTAATTTTCGAAAGTGACAAGCTAATAAACGATTATACTCTATATTCATTCTTAGGAGAACAAATATATTTCATTGTAGATGCTTCAGGAGTTATTGTGAGGTAGGTATTTTTTAGAGTGAATCTAACTTTAAAGGTACATTTTATTCAAAATTATCGTTTTAACAGATTTTCAATAAATGGAGATACGCAAAAGTTTNACTTCAGGAGTTATTGTGAGGTAGGTATTTTTTAGAGTGAATCTAACTTTAAAGGTACATTTTTTTCTAAAATTATCGTTTTAACAGATTTTCAATAAATGGAGATACGCAAAAGTTTGTGATTTCTAGTTTAGACAAATTTCCTGAATTCAAACCAAAGAAAATTAGCGTCGATTGGTTAAACAAGCGGCTTTTTATTGCAGCTCAGGTAAATTGTCTTATTATGTAATGGACATTTTACTTCTAACTTAGTATGGAATATTTCGCTTGGATTACAGAAGCTTACGGAGCAGTGGGCAGTGATTGCCACAGACTTCAGTGGACACTCCCAGAGTATGATAGTCGGCAATTTAACTGAACCTATCGAGCAATTGGATGTGGATCCCATAAATGGTTGGCTATTTTGGCTAACAAGTGGCAGTCTTATGCGAACCAATCTCTACAATAACTACTCAGAACCCATAATCAAGAGAGACGTNCGGTTACAGAAGCTTACGGAGCAGTGGGCAGTGATTGCCACAGACTTCAGTGGGCACTCCCAGAGTATGATAGTCAGCAATTTAACTGAACCTATCGAGCAATTGGATGTGGATCCCATAAATGGTTGGCTATTTTGGCTAACAAGTGGCGGCAGTCTTATTCGAACCAATCTCTACAATAACTACTCAGAACCCATAATCAAGAGAGACGTAGGTCATTTCTCAAACACTTATCAAAGCAGCTTAATAACATTTTATAATACAAGTGATCACACCTTGTTCGAAAGCACTTATGATGGACTACACATCCAAAGCCTTCAATTAAAATTATCCATTAGTTTAGAACGCATAGTGAGCTTCTGGTACAATGGAATTCATATATTGGCTACAAATGGTACACATCTGCTGCGGGGAAACTACAATACAAATGAATTTGACGTCCGCACTGTCAGAGAGTTGGAATGGTGTTGGGGTATTTTGCCAGTGATACAAAAGGGACAAAAGATATTTATCCAAACACAGCCATTGCAAAAAGGAATCCCAGAAAACTTGAATGCTTTGGTTACATCTAATATGGCCAAAATAAGTTGGGATGCGCCGCAGTTGAATGTATATCAGACAGAATACGCTTGGCAAAAGTGGGATTATGAGCTTGAGATAATGGATGTGGCTAGTAACAGCGCCTTTAATATACGCAACATAAAGACAACATATTTCAATGTGGAGAAACTACAATCAAATAATTTGTACAAGTTTCGTGTTCGTGTCATTTTTGGTAGTACACTTGGTGTATGGTCTAAAGCGTTGTTAACGCGTACGTGGCCCTTAGGGGAGTATACATTTCTGTTGGCAAGCATGAATGGCGTATACGAAATGAATGAGACCGGTAAGCATGTAGAGCAGGTCGGTCAAATGGAAAACGTGCAAGATTTTATGCAGTTGAATGCCACAATATACTACATTTCTAAGGACAATCGCTTGCAATGTGTGAACATCATGAATCCGGAGATAAATTGCTCATTTATAGCCACAAATGCAATGAGCTTGGCATATGAGTGGCGTGGTGGCAAGATGTATTGGGTAGATACGTTGGGAAATTCTGTGATGAGAGCGAACTTAGATGGCAGCCAACGTGAATTGCTACCAGTATTCGGTGCGGAAAGCATTGCAGTTGATGCATACAATGGGCATATCTACTACTCGACCGGGGTGAAGTTGATGAGACGCTCTCTAGGCGACACACTGGACGCGGACGAATATGAATATTATCATGTCAGCACTTACGACGATGTCATACGCGGTTTTGCTTTGGATGTGGTAGGAAAACGCCTCTTTTGGATTGTTCGTCAAGGTGACGGTGAGGTTAACTTATTCCGAACCAGCAGTGACATGACTAGTGAGGATTTACAGTACAATATCTTAGGAAATGATATAAGATTGGGCTCTTTAAAATTTGTACACGAAATTGATAGTCTGATGTGGTTGCCTTTGAATTCCAGCACAATTACTTTCGCACGAACAAGTAATCCAACAAACGAAGTGCTGATTCACCTTTCACAATTTACTAATATCAACTGTATTAATCTTAGATCGGAATATATGCCCGCTAACGACCTGTCCGTTATACCTGAGGCCGTCGATGGCCAAAGTGTTCACATCAGTCAAGCCTTCGCAGATGAATGGATAGTGAAGTGGCAACCAATAAGTTCCTCGGAAAATTATACAATATTTTATAGTATTATTTTCCAATTTGCCGACGCTACTAATCAAACGGAAGCAATACGTGCATATAAGACCAACGATTCGTTCATAAGGATAGCTGAAGAACTTCCTTTGCAACCAAGTTTTCATATAACTATAACGGCGTCCACATATTGGAGCATAGGTCCAACCACGCGTGTACAACTTCTCACACCCACTACCAGTGTAGCCCCTCCGCGACGGATGAGAGTTTTTGTTCAACAATTTAAAGACCCGCTTGAAGCCAGCACCAACATTAGCGCAATTGTTCGCTGGGACTCTCCACAATCTAAAAGTCCCTATACTGAAATAAATTATAAAATATTCTGCTGGCATGGCGATAAGCTACACGCCGAAAAATTATACAACACAACTGACAAGGAATCATTTGAGACGACGATAGACGGGTTACATATGGGAGAATCGTACGTCTTTCAAGTACAATCCTTTATACCAGGAGCAACAAAAGGAGGCCAACGCAGCTCCTTTCAAATACTCATTAATCCAGAACTCCAATCCAAGCCAGGATTTCTATTCTCGACGAGTGAATTTATTGCAGAATNAGAATCATTCGAGACGACAATAGATGGGTTACATATGGGAGAATCGTACGTCTTTCAAGTACAATCCTTTATACCAGGAGCAACAAAAGGAGGCCAACGCAGCTCCTTTCAAATGCTCATTAATCCAGAACTCCAATCCAAGCCAGGATTTCTATTCTCGACGA